ACCAGTGGCACTCTGTGAGTGAAGTATGAGCCACATTGGACCAAGAGGAAAGAAGATATGCTCCGGATATGGATTTTTCATATAATTCTGCTATGACCTTCACCTTTGACCTAGAAACATGGTTCAAGGTCACTGCACACCCTTTACCCAAAGGCACTCTGTGGGTGAAGTATGAGGCAGATTGGGCCAAGGAGAGAGAAGATATGCTCTGGACAAGAGATCTCGGACGGACAGACGGACGGATGGACAGACAGACAGACTGATCACTATAGGGTGCCCACAGAGCAGGGCCTTAATAAAGTCCTTGTTGTTGTGAATGATGCAGGATAACCTCCTTGGTCTCGAAATGTTGATGAAATATAAAAGCCACCGCTAACGCCTCGGCTTTTATATTTCAAACAACATTTCTCGACCTCGGAGATTATCCTGCAACATTTACGAAAAATGCGGACTTTATTTCTTAAATAAACCTAAAATTTCTTATCCCCATCCACTCATCTCAAAGTGTCCGGTCCTATTATTTTTTGTTTAGATGTTTTATTACAAAAAGTATACACAACGTACATCTCTATATTGTTTACAAGTCTCTTTATTCAAACAAAATTTTCTTATACTAAAGAATAAGTTTGGTTGTAATTGCTCCATTTGGATTTCATTAGACAACAGATAAACATTTAACAGATGTGGCAGGTGGCCTTCTTTTAACAATGACAAAAACATGCAGAGAGGACTCAAGATAACCTGAAAATGGTAGTGGCATATCAAAATTTTATCAAAATAATCAAATTTTATTTACTTGACTAGAAAAACTAGAGGTATTGTGAGCACTGAGCTCACTAAATGATACCCCCGCCTCCCATATGATTATAATGGCTAAGTCCATGTTTTGCCCTGGGAGACCCGAAATAAGTGTCAGATCAAAAAGTAAAATAGGAGGTGCACAATGGCCCTATGTAACAAAGATTCTGTGAAAGTCTCATTAAATTTCATTCCATGGTATAAGAGGAGTTGTGAATAAGAGATAAGTACCCCAAAGCATAACAGACGGACGTACAGACGGACGGACGGACACCCCGATCACTATATACCCTCCCACTTTTCAAGCGGGGTATAATTAATCCTGAACAAGCATACATTAACAGTTTTAAACTTTTACCTTCTATCCTGTGAATCTTTTTAAACAAGTCCTCTATATTTCTAAGGTCATGTCTGCTGTGATCCTCAGAGCTGGTACACCCCACACACAAGGGAACACCACACGGGGTACAGAACTGCTCCAGGGGACTTCTGGGATGCTTTTTGCATTTGATGTCCTCACAATGAAGGCCTGTGAGAAGAATAGTGTTAATACTGTTAATAATTCATCATCCTTCAAAATTAAGAAGGTTTTAAATATGGTGCTTTACTTTTCCCATAATTATACCAAACTGCATTCCTCATGTTGGAATACACAAAGTGCCTTGACAGTGACAATCAAGTGAAAAATCTGTCAATGTGACAACAAACCAGGTTTATTTTGTGTGAGCAGTACTGATGCTTCTCACATGAGTAGACAAATTTTCATTTGCAAGATTTATTTCCCTTTGTCATCAAAAAACTCAGCTTTCTCACTTATCCTTTACATATAATTTACATGTACCTATAATCATGATAATAAATTAAATATTTACAAGTTGTATGTCTTTTGACAATTCTTTCCCATACCTTTATTGGCAAAGTATGTAACAACAAAAAACATAATAAATATAGACATTTAGATCCCGAAAAGGGAAACAACTCTTGTAAATGTAAGCGTCATCTATTATAAAAGCTTTCTATTCTTTAATCTTAAAACTGTAGGAGGTGACTTCTCAACAAAATCAATGTACCCTATTAGAATACTGTGCATAGATATGACCATATTCAACAAATGGTATTGATCAAAAATCAAAGTTCAAGTTATTTGCCACATCACTATTCAGATACAGACAAAATCTATCTGTTTTCTCCCTAACAAATTAACAATCAAGGCACAATGGGTTACATTTACATGTACTTTAGCTACCAATAACAAATTAACAATCAAGGCACAAGGGGTTACATTTACATGTACTTTAGCTACCACTAACAAATTAACAATCAAGGCACAATGGGTTACATTTACATGTACTTTAGCTACCAATAACAAATTAACAATCAAGGCACAATGGGTTACATTTACATGTACTTTAGCTACCAATAACCTAGACCTTGCCTGTGTGACCTGTGTTCAGAACATATGCAACCTTTGTGTTCACAGCAATTTTTTTTTAAATACCTCCTTTTGAATTGAGGAAAAACTCTTTCCTCAAATTGGTTAAAATCATTTTTAGAAATAAATGATAAAAATGCAAAAATAAACATATACAACAAGCAATTCAAGGTTTACTTCGTATCTGATTTATTAAATGTAACGTCAAGTTTTTTACCCCCCCCCCCCCAATTTTTTTCTGTAAGTGATATCGAGGCATTCAAAAATCATGACGAATCTTTATCAACAAAGACTTCCTTTGTTTCTAATGATTAATCATTCCTATTCAGTTTTTTCCCTTACTTAACATATCATAACACTTGATTAGACAGAAAAAAAATATTTTCTTTGGTCAAAAAAATCTCTATGAAATGCAGATGCAAGGTTTGTTAATGCTTTTAATTGCAAGAATTGTTCTTTTATTTGTGGCCAAATCTTACAATGAAAAGGGGAATAACCCAAATTTCTTTTCTCAACTTTAAATAAAGGTAAGAGTTATTCCCCTTTCCAATAGGTAGATGGAAATGATCAATGCATTCGAATTCCATGTAAAAATTAATATAGCAGCACCTGAAAGTCTTAATCTTATTTTTTGTTGTTTTCTGACCTGATCATTCTTATACTGTTTCATTGATGTCAGTTTTCAAACACAAAATATTAAATGAACATGGAGAATGTCAACCCGGTACACAGTGTAGATTTACTGAACACCTGCTACAGAAATACACAACATTCCTAGACAGAGCTGTGTTAATGTCAATGGTGTCTATATCTAACTGGCAACATCAGTACAAAATGTCATCTGTTCTGAATGTAGAATTACCTTCACTTGACTAAATACCTTAAATTTTATAGTAGGCCCATAGGAATTTTGTACAAGTAATTAAAGAGATAAACAATTAAGTATTAGCTAACAAACTAGAATGAAGTATTAAACTTCATCCTCCACTTTAAAATAAAATCCTTCCTTATTTTTCAGTACTTCATCATACTGAACTCTAAATTAATGTAATTCTGCATCTTTAATCAGATTATACCTATCATGTATATCTAACCCAAAGGAAACACAAAATCCACCATAGAAATTGGAAAGTTAATACAATAACAACACGATATACCATTATACCAAGTATAAATTATATTACATTTCAGTCTTACGTTGTAAGAAGACAATTCATATAGATCTATTCTTATAAATTTTAAGTCATTCATCTGTGTATATACTTTTTGTATGAAGTTTCTGAGAAAACATAATGGAATAAACAGGGAAAAAGAGTCAACATTTTATATTTAAACACAATGTCTGAGTAATATAGTCCTCACTATTTAGTTAACTACACAAACACTTAATTAAATATTTGAATACTTTACTCCTTTTTTATCTAATCATAAATAATTCATCATTATTACTTATATAATTTAAAAAAATGCACAATAAAAATTCATAATCAAACTAAATATTTCAATTTTCTATTCACTCTTGTATACAGGTTTATATATCACAATTCTCTATAGTTCTTCTTATATGACATCCCTAATTATAATATAATGTAGTTATTATGTTGTTGTGATATTATAATTATACAATACAATTAAACAAACTACAGTGTTACTTACCAGTCAGAGAGTGTGTATCTACCACTCTGTATATGTTTACTGTGTTGTTGTAGTATGACCCTACCCACAGTAGGTGTGTGGTATCATCATAACTCAGGCCCCGTGGTGTGTCTATCCCGTGTGGTGATGTCTGTATCTGTGACAGGAAGTTACCATCACTGTCTAACATCTGTACTGACCGGGTGTTATAATCACACACCAGGATGTGTGACAGCGCGTCAGTACAGATTCCTAGTGGAAATAGTCCTGATCCTGATGGGTGTCCTGTGTAGGAGAAGCGATGACTTCCACCGCGATCTGTCACCACTACAGCACGACGGAGAAAGTCAGACACAATAACATCTCCATTGCGGTTCTCTGTGATGTAGATAGGTACACTATACAGTCCCTGACCTGTGTTGTTGTTGTACTGTATGGTCTGGATGATTTCTCCTGTGGAGTTATACCGCACTACCTTGCCTGTCTTTGTATCAGTATTATACATCCCGACCAGCAGGTCTCCAGTGGAGGGGGAGCTGTAGACACACTGTGGTTCCCATGGTGCTGTGTTGTACTTTATTAATGTAGTCTTTACGGTGTTCTCTGTAGACAGTTTGTTGATGTTATAATCACTGTCTATATAAATTAAATCACCATCATTGTTCACAGTGTGTCCTCCACTATAACCACTACGTATATCTGTCAGGTGATGTAGTTTATCCCCTGCTGTGTTTGTCAAGATGAGATTGTTATAACTATCATTGATCCAGACCCGGTCTGATGATACACGGGTAATGTGACGTACACGACTAACACCTGTCACTGTGAGAGATTTCTGTAACACTAATCTATACATCATTGACAGCAGACATTTATTTCATCTTTATCCTGTGGTTTTATAACAGAATCCCGTGTTGATTTCCTCAGTCAGGGAGATTTCTCTGTAAATTACAACACTGTACTAGAATTATCTACATCAATAATAGCCTATAATAGGTCTCTGTTTACACAGAATTAAATGTTTAGATCAATATTTTATCTTTATATATACATTTCATATAATTAAATCTAGAACAATAACTTGTCTCTGCTTACAATTAATAAACATTGATAAAATTAACACAAATATAAAAACCTTGTTTTTACACTGGGGACAGAATTCTATTTATGTCCCTGTGAACAGCAGGGTCCAAGTATTCACAATGTAGTCTATCTAAAATATAATATTGATGGATTAAAACATACAATGTATTTATGTTAAAATACTGAAGATTTTAATTAATTCTTACAGATTATCATTTAAAATCATGTCTACCATTTCAAGTCAAATGTTTCAACTACATGTATACAATATACAAAAATATAATCACAATAAACTCTGCTTTCTTTCATATACATGTATATTAATTCATAAGTTACAAAGTTGTGGAATATTAAATGTAGACTTTTTTATGGAATGCCACACTCTTTAGATAGGTACATTGTATGGTGGCTACCGTGTGTGTTGACACAGTTATATAGAGTAACAAAGAAATACCTCTGTACCATATTAAATTCTTGTGTCTGGTAAAAACTGCATGACTTCTGTTCATCTTGTTTCTGTGTCCTGGGGAAAGAAAATAAGAACATTACATGTATAACTAATCATTCTTAAAAAAAACATATATTTTAATTTACTTTATTTGATAATGACAAAATCATGTCTTGATTTTGAAATTACAAAATTCAAATGACAGCTTTAATCTTGACTGTTTTAACCATTTTTTGTTTTACAAAGCAAGTCCATGATGTCAATATTTTCGAATGTGCATCTACAAATGTAATGTATACATTTATTTTTTCTAGTATATTTTTATTTATTGCTTATAAAAACCTGTAACAAAGTTGATTTCTTCATCCTCTTAATGATGACATGTAACTGCACACCACATCCTGAGAAATCTGTCAAAATAAAATCAGAACATTAACCTAGAGAGAGAGAGAGAGAGTGTGTACTTGTAAAACTCTAGTGTACAGGTAGAGATAATGCTATTGTGCCTAATCTGTAGGGTTGATAAACAAGTATCTTAATGATTACAATTTCAACAATAAAATGTTTCTTTCTTTGTTGATTCAGGAATTGATATAGATAATACAGGAATTGATATAGATAATGCAGGAATTGATATAGATAATGCAGGAATTGATATAGATAATGCAGCAATTGATATGGATAATGCAGGAATTGATATAGATAATACAGGAATTGACATAGATAATGCAGAAATTGATATGGATACTGCAGGAATTGATATAGATAATGCAGGAATTGATATAGATAATACAGGAATTGACATAGATAATGCAGGAATTGATATGGATAATGCAGGAATTGATATAGATAATACAGGAATTGACATAGATAATGCAGGAATTGATATGGATAATGCAGGAATTGAAATAGATAATGCAGGAATTGATATGGATAATGCAGGAATTGATATGGATAATGCAGGAATTGTTATAGATAATGCAGGAATTGACATAGATAATGCAGGAATTGATATAGATAATACAGGAATTGATATAGATAATACAGGAATTGATATAGATAATACAGGAATTGATATGGATAATGCAGGAATTGATATGGATAATGCAGGAATTGATATAGATAATGCAGGAATTGATACAGATAATACAGGAATTGACATAGATAATGCAGGAATTGATATAGATAATGTAGGAATTGATATAGATAATACAGGAATTGACATAGATAATGCAGGAATTGATATGGATAATGCAGGAATTGATATGGATAATGCAGGAATTGATATAGATAATGCAGGAATTGATATGGATAATGCAGGAATTATATGCACTACCTGATGCTGCTGAGATGAAATATGTGGATATAACGAACAGTATTCGAGCTCAAAATCTATTAGCATTACAAAACAAGAGGCCCATGGGCCACATCGCTCACCTGAGTAACTTTGGTCATGCTGTTCTTTACCAGATTCCCCCCCTTGTTATACTTGTGGCCCCGCCCTGCCCCCGGGGGTCATGATTTTAACAATTTAGAATCTACACTACCCCAGAATGCTTCCGCATAAGTTTCAGCTTTTCTGGCCCAGTTGTTCTTGAGAAGAGGATTTTTAAAGATTTTTCCTACATATTTCAATGTAAAACTTGGATTCCCTATTGTGGCCCTGCCCTACCCCCGGGGGCCATGATTTGAACAATTTAGAATCTACACTATCCCAGGATGCCTCCACATAAGTTTCAGCTTTTCTGGCCCAGTGGTTCTTGAGATTGATTGATTGATTGTATGTTGTTTTACGTCCCATTCGAGAATTTTTCACTCATATAGAGACGTTACCATATACCGATGAAGGGCTTCAAATTTTGACCTTTACTCGGCACTCAGGGCCATTGAGAAGTGAGGGATCTTTATCGTGCCAGCGCCTGCCGTGACACGGGGCCTCGGTTTTCAAGGTCTCATCCGAAGGACCCGCAACTTTCACTTCAAAGTGCCGAGCGCATGGCGAAGGAACAGTTGCTACCCATTTTTTATCGAATTGGGTCATTCGCGGCGTGGTTCTCGAGAAGAAGATATTTTAATGACCCCACCTTATTTTTGTCTTTTCTTGATTATCTCCCCTTATAAGGGAACTTGGCCCTTTATTTTTACAATTTAAACTCAGAAAAGCTCACTTGAGCTTTCAGCTCAGGTGAGCTAAAAAAAAACAACAACAGAATCCCACTATCCCAAAATAATAATTTTTTTTTCTTTAATGCTTCAAAAAACATGAATGCCATTAGTTTTTGTATACCATTAGACAGTCCATTCATATTTTTCTTCACCCATGCGTGCAATGTCTACTACCAATAAATTAAAGAAATAATTCCCCCCTCTTATCTGCTTTTTATAATAATATAATAATCTTGCCCAGGCAGTTCATTAGGAAAAAATAAAACAAAGAATTTTTCTCATATATTCCTATGTAAAATTTTTATATCTGAAACAAATCTTGAGTATGCTTGAATTTTAATATAATCAATTAAAGATGTCTTCCTCTATATTCTTCTTTGTAAAACTTTGATCCTTTATGGTGGCTAAATCCCCCCTCCCCTCCTCCGGCAGTCATGATTTGAACAAACTTGATTCTGCTTGCCTAGTATCAATTACATCCCTGTTGTTCTTGAGAGGATGATTTTTTTTTAATTCCAATACATTGTATTACAGTGTAAAACTAAAATCCCCTTATGTGGCCCCACCCTACCCACGGGGTCTTGGTCCCTTTAATCTGCTTGAATTTACCTGAGGGCTGAGGATCCTTAGATATCAACCCTTTATTATGTCCCTGCTGGTATTGAGGAAATTTTAAATAAGAATATGTATATATTTTTATCTATTAATTCTTAAGTAAAACTATAATCTCTTATTGTATCCCTTTTTACCCAGAGGGTCATGATTTTCACAAACTTAAATCTGGACTGCAAACAAATTAAGAAACGAAATCATTTTTTCTTTATGAACACAGTGCATTGTTACAGTTCTTAACACACATCATGCCAGACTGGCAATTCAATGGAGGAGCTGATATTTCCAAGGGAAAGTAGGGGGGCTTCTCAGAGTCATATTTTGTCTATTCACGTTGTTTTTTAAGAGTATGTGGACCCAGGGGGTTAGGACTTTAATATTATTTTAAGATTATGTAGACTCCAAGGCTAGGACTTTTTTCATATTATTTTTAAGTGTGTAACAAGTAAGGAAACTATGTATTGCAGAACCGAAAGGACCCCTGCTTCACTAGTCAGGTGCTCTACCAAATGAATTATCCAGGCCAGTATCCACAGCACAAACAGACCCCAAGCAAGCTTTATTCATTATTATGTTTAAGAAAACATTTATATTGTAGGTAAACCCCAAGGCTAAAACTTTATCAAATATTATTTCTAAGAATAAAATTACATATATATTTATAAAAAAAGAATATATGTATACCCCGGGGCTAGGTCTACTTCCAACTTCAAAAAAAGTTAAATCTACTTCCTTGTTCATATTAGTCAGTTTACCGTGAACAAAACAAAACACAGTATATGTCTACGTGATATGACCTTACTTTGTTTACCCACTATTTCATACGTGTAGTATTCACAATAATGTTGATTTCTCTCGTGAATCAATAGGCTTTAGCTTGTTTCGCTTTTTTTCCCCTTGATCTAGCATTCAACCTTTTCACGTCTGCGTCGTCCTGAACATGAAATAATATTTTGTATTTCGATCCCGATGTTCACCCTTAAAACTGATATGCACAGGTGTAACCCGGGGTCTTGGGGTGCTACAGTAGAAAAGACTCAGATAAAGTTTCCTTTTTATTTTGGAATAATCACGATAGATATGTATATAGTTGTTCAATTGAGTTGACCCTGTAACACAGTAAAAGCTAGCATAATAAACAACATTGTAAGAAAGATAACTCTTACGTTCATGTCTGAATGAAATGAAAATGCTAGCCTAAGTATGTTTGACTCAAAAATATTTGTGTCTATCAAAATCATCTATATCTTCTCATTATTTTAACAAACAAAGTATTATTATTTTCACTGCATACTAATATGTAAAACCTTTTTTCACAAGAATTCATAAAGAAAATATTTACATACGTATGTTTCATTAGTATTATGATGTATCGTGATATATAAATTTCAAGCATAACACTCAAGAGATTTTGCTTACCTCACTTGAGGTGTAAAGGTCGTAGAACAATAGCTAGTTTACTCTTACATCATGAGAATTCATGGCCGTAGGAACCGAGGGGGGGGGGGGCACGGAGGGGCCGTGCCCCCCCCCCCAATAATTTTGCTGATATATAGATTACTATAGTAAACATAGATAATGTGTGCTTGTGCCCCCTCAATAAAAAGGTCTGATGACCTTTTTTTTTTATTTGCTTGTCAGGAAATTTTTGGTAGTGCCCCCTCAACGTCAACTGAAAAATGTATGGCTGTGCCCCCCCCAAACTGAAATTGCTTCCTACGGGCCTGGAATTACATGTATATCTAAAGGTAGAAAATAATACACTGACTTCAACTATTCAGTTCACTGTGTTAATGTATCTGTAATTATATTACTAATCCTGTTTTTCTTTAAAAAAATATTACACTTATATTTATTCTTTTAAAGTATGACCAACTGTTTCAATAAAATAGATGTCTGAATACTTCTATTATTATTACAGAAATAGATATTTAATATATGTATTTAATATAATGAATATATATGTACATGTACTTACAAATCAACTGAGCTGATTATGAGAATATTCCACAAAACTAAGGCACGTCGCAACAGGGGGGCCGGGGAGTGGGGGCACTTTTTTTCCAAACAAAACCTTTTAGTAATAGTAATAGTAATATAAAAATTTATATAGCGCTCTATCAATTTGAGTCCTCTAAAGCGCTTTACAATTAAAATATATAAAAAGAGACAATGTTTAAAATACATAAAAAAGACATGTGAATAAAATTAATCATAATGTCTCTATCTAAATATAAGCCATATTTATATTAAGAAATCACAAATTAAAAGCTAGTTTGAAAAGATGTGTTTTAAGATCCTTTTTAAAACTGGGCAATGAAATACATTCTCTAAGTTTAAAAGGCAGAGAGTTCCAGAGACTCGATGCGGCCTTGTCTAAACGACGGTCTCCGTATGTTTTCGTGCGTGTCCGAGGTACCTGGAGAAGATGCGAGAATTCTGAACGTAGTGATCGTGGCGGGTTATAAACAGACTGAGTCATGATGTCTCTCATGTAGACTGGGGATAGGCTACGAAGGGTTTTGAAAGTGTGTAAAAGGATTTTATATTGGATCCTGTATTGAACTGGGAGCCAGTGAAGATGGATCAAAGTTGGAGTAATTTGGTCTGATCTTTTAGAACGCGTGATTAGTTTTGCGGCTGTGTTTTGCACTCTCTGAAGTTTGGCGATGTGTTGAGAATGAACACCATATAGCAATGCATTGCCGTAATCAAGTTTAGATGTAACTAAGGAATTCACTAGAGCTTTACATGCTTCGTCACTGATAAACGGACGGATGCGGCCAATTTTGCGAATGTTCATGTATGCTGAACGAGAAATTGAAAATGTTCATTGAAAGGGTGGATAGCCCACCCACTTTGTACTTTGTGTTGCAGCACAGTCAAATAAGGGTAATGTTGTAATGTACTATGAATAAAATTTGTTACTGAAAGGAGTTTGAATCTAACCCCCCCCCCCCCCCCCACGAAATAGGATTTTTTCGAGTCTGGATAACTTTCCTTTAATTTTTCTTTAATATTTATTTTATTTCATTTCATTTTAACTTATTTTTTTGGCTTCTCAAGTTTTTTTTTAGGTAAGTTGAATTTTTTTTCTCAGTCTGCCCCCCCCCCTTTCAAAAACGATTCTAAGTCCCCGAAACATAAAAAAAATTTCAATGATACTGACTGACACTGAAAATACACTTTCAACAAAGACTGCAGCACAAGAACTAAATAACACAATGGGAAAATTCCCTCCAAATTATAATATGATCAAATTCTCTACATCTGACCATAACTGACCAATCAAATACAAGAAAAGGGTATATTCCTTCTAAATATAGCTACAGTGTATAAAAGTTTAAAATATCCATGCACATGAGTGACATGATTATTTGTAAAGTAATTAACAGTACTAAAAATATATTCATACTGAATAAACTCATATGTTGCGAAAATAATTATTTTATAAATAATGAAAATAATAAATTTATTCATCATAATAATTTGATAAAAATAAATATCAATTTTCACTCTGTCATACACATAATTATGACTGCATTAAGTGCATGCTAGTTAATTGGATACTTTGATGTATGTGTGTGTTGTGTGTGTATATGTGTGTGTGTGTGTGTGTGTTGTTTGCGTGTGAGAGGGTGTGTGTGTGTGTGTTGTGTGTGTATGTGCACGTGTGTGTTGTGTGTGTATATGTGTGTGTTGTATTCATTACTATACACCAATGGATAATGATGTTGTCAAAAAATAAATGAAATGAATAAAAAGTACAGGTTCTATACGATTCAGGCATGCAATCAGTGAAAAGTCGAATATTTTAGATTGGGCTAATATTTTTATGCCTCCATAGCTGAAGATTTGGGGGCATACAGTTTTTGATCTGTCCGTCCATCTGTTTGTCTATATACATGTAGCAGTTTGTCTAGCCGCTAAAACAGTTAACCTTGTCCATAACAGTTACTATTGATTGGTTGGAGTTACATGTAGGACTTTGTATTTCACATGTATTCCTTGTAACAAGAACTTCCTTATGGTACCAACATTTTTTTCCTTGACCTTGGGAGTACATGTATGACCTTCTTTTATAAACAATAACTTTGGCCATAACTTTTAAGCATTTGTTGCAAAGGCTTTCATATTTCACCAGGCGCGGATTCAGGCGGGGGCGCTCATCCCCTATAAAACTAAAAAAATAAATTTTCATATATATATTTTTTCACTATCTTTAGACTTACATTGACGTAATAAAGGTAAAAATTACAGTCATTTTTGTGCTAAAATGAGATTCAATAAATTTGCCGATTCTTAGTGACCCAACCGGTCACTGATCTTGACATTCTGGTGATATCGGCGGTACTGATGCCCCTTGCCATCTAGTAGCGCCCCTAGCTCTAACGCAAAATCCTGGATCTGCGCCTGTTCACAGGTATATTCCACGTGAAAGACCAACATTTTTGACCTCCTGACCTTGGAGTTTGTCTTGCATTTGAGAATTTTTACCTTGCCCACAGCTGTCATACGGGGGGGGGGGGGGGGGGGGCTCAGTGTTTCACAAACACAACTTGTTTCATATGATAACATGATGTACACAGTAATCAAAATATCTTTTCTTATAACATTATATTTGCTGATTTGTAATTTCCATGTTTATAATATTTTTATTTCAAATAAATTGACGATAAATTATAAGCAAATCTGAAAATTTCCAATGTATATATAACTATTTGAAGCTTCAAGACCATTCTCAAACATCGACTTATCACAAAAGTTTGATTTTCCCTGATCAATCTTTGCTTGCAGCGCCTACTTTTCTAATTTGAATGTTTCTGCGGTTTTAATCAAGATATACAGATACCAGTTATTTTATAACACGTCATTTTCACGCACGGGTTGAGTAATATTACAAATGTACATATATAAATTTTGAGAGTATGAGGTTCCATGTTAAAGCATGTTGTATAGGCTCTGTGTTAAAAAAAAAATTAAATTAAAAAAAAATCAAGGGAGATTGCAATCTTCGAGCGTAATTCTCAACCTGTGTCTGTAAATTCGAACAATACTAATTAAATAAAACTTCCAGTACATTGTATACATGTAGTTCTTCAGAACCCCCACCTAAAAATAAAATTGAGCATACAGTTTCCTTAACATGTTCCCAGGAAACAAATTACTCTCTCTCTCTCTCTCTCTCTCTCTCTCTCTCTCTCAGGCACGTAGCATCGTTTTTCAAAGTGGGAGGACCAGAAAGGGGGGGGGGTAAGTCAACCCAAATAGAGAAAAAAGCTGCAAATTGAAAACCTGAGTTATATTCAATGTTCATCATATTTAAAGCAAAACACAGTTCTCTTCCGATTGACTGATATTAAATAAAGTACAAACCAGAAGTCTCTGATGAGAATGCAGCTCTACTGGCTTAATTGTATTTATGTAAAAAGAAGAGCAAAGTAGCACCTGGACTTGAAACGCCCCCTTTCCCTTAAATATTCTACATGCATTTACAGAATTATGTACACTGATACATATTTTACTACACTTTTACTATGTTTTGATTAATCAATCTGTAGGAAGACTCTAAATCAGGATTTTCATACTACCAAGATAGTAGCATAGTGTGCACATTTCGATCCCTTTGAACCGGGTCCAAGATGGCGGCCCTTCCGTTTCCAGCTCTTCCGCTTCAGTTTTTTTTTTTTGGTTTTTATTTTTTTTTTAATTTTTTTTCTTTTTCGGTTTCTTACAAAGTAGCCATCACACTTTACCAGGACTTTGGACCTGCTGTCCGACTGCAGGTGGGTTTATACTTGTTTTTCTTGAAAACGAGAAGGGTGGCAGCCACTTACGACCATGTCAAGGACGCGCCAGAGGTAGACCTACGCCAAGGCACACAG